ATTTTCTTTGTATTTATATATATAGTAAAATTTGATATATATAATATTAAGTATAATATCATATGATTCAATTAGTTAAATTTGTACTATATAAATTTTTTTTAAATATATAAGACTTATTATTTATATTTATACCTAGTGTCAATAGATAATAATTCTAAGAAAATTTAAATAAATATTTTTTCATGAATAATAATTCTGTTATTGATTGAGTCGTACATATGTCTCAAAATAAGTGCAGGTATATGCATGCTTAAATTTCATCTATGAGTTATCCCAATCCTAAAACAGAGAACTTATGTTAAATAAAAATAATTCAAAATAGAAAGTGAAAACACATATAGATGAATAATTCAAGGAGGAAAATTGACTAAGATCGGTTGAAACTTGAAGTAGAAATTTCATAAGAAAAAGAAAATGAATTTGCAGCCTCTATTACGTAGCCAGAAAAGTAAATGCACCATTGTAGAAAAAAGTACTAAGAAATGGAAAAAGAGAAGAGATTCAAGAGTTGTAATCTAGTTTGCACTTTGCAACATCTTGACCCTACCTGCTTTATTCAAGTTTGAAGAAACCCTTACTTTGTCAGAAATTGTGAATACTTTTTTGAATTGTCATTGCCGTCAAAGAAAGAAAATTTCAATAAAAAAGTGAACAGAAATTATAAGTAATAGAGTTTTATATAATTATATACCTCACTAGCTGAAATGTAACCGTTTTGATCTTTATCAAACACCTTGAAAGCTTCTTTGAGATCTTCCTCTGCATCAGTCTCCTAAATGAGATAGAAAACATAGTAGGAATTAAGATATTAATCATTGCTTCGGAACTTTAGTAAATAAACCATATCATGTATATTAAATAAACAATGAAGGAATAAGATTAAGAGCATATTTTACTTTCATTTTCTTGGCCATCAAGTTCAAAAACTCAACAAATTCTATAGTTCCATTGCCATCTGCATCGACCTCATTTATCATATCTTGAAGCTCTTCTTCTGTGGGGTTCTGATCCAATGACCGAATAACCGTGGCCAATTCTTCCACAGTAATGCACCCTATTAAAACATACACACAAGTTACACATATAACTTACCTTTATTATGTTTCTCAAATGAAAAGTTGCATTTGTACATAAATAGAGGGGAAAAAAATGAGTTTGGTATATTAAAAGTTATCTCTTCACAGATAAATGAAGCATGAAGGACATTGGCATAACTAATCATAGAACAGAAGGATTTCATGATTTCAACTAAAAAAAGGGAGACCCATTTAGGGAGAAGAAAAATATTTTATGGACTCCAAATCCTATTTAAAACTTAGAGAGGAAGAGGGAGAAAAATATGTATCATATTTGACGTGGTGTGATATGATGTGATAAGACGAGACATAAAGAAAGAAATATAAATAGTGTTATCCTGTTTGATATATAGAGGTGTCTACATATCATCTTATTTTATAGAAAATGATAGATGGTGAATAAAGGAGAAAAGTTGATTACCATCTCCATCTTTGTCAAACAAGCCAAAGGCTTCTTTGATCTCACCAATCTGTTCTTCACTGAGAACATCTGCCATGGTGTGTGTTGTCGTGCTTGAAATGAGAGGGAGAGAGAAATGTGTATGCTGAGTATATAGCTAGCTCAATCTTAGCTGGGGGGGTATTTGTAGAGCTTCAGTGTGAAAGGGCCAACAATATTTCTTTTTGAATTGCAATTTAAAATGTGTAAGAGTCAAACCACGCTTATGACTGTGTTTTGGTGATAAGTTGTGGCTTTATTATGGGAAAAGAATCAGATTGCAACCCTATGATCTCTATCCAAATACATGAGGTGAAGGTGATGGTGGGGCATGCAGATTTAATGCCCTTCATATTTCTTTAATATATTGAGCATATAATATATCGGGGATGAAATTTGGACAGCTGGAAGGGTTTAATGTTCAGGAGACAAAAATTGGCATTAATTGAAAGGGTAAGAGAGAAGAGAAAGGGTATGGACTATGAACTATGGACTAAGAACTATGGGGAGGTGTGCACAGTCTTCTGTTTTCATCAATTTCAAACTTCAACAAATCAACATCACCCACCTAGACCATGCTATGGCTATAAGACCTAGAAGAAAGGATTAGAATTTAGAAATTCATTTGAACAATTCTAAACATTAAATATATCACAAGATTTTAACAATTTCTTCCTTTGAAGTTATTTTATTTTTTAAAATAAAGTTTTAGATTTGAATCTTATAAATAAAAGAAATATGGTTGTTTTGTGCAAGAATCTCTAATATTTTATTGATTTTCTATTTGATAATTTTGAGAGTGTTATTTTTTTTTATCTATTATAATAAAAAAAATAATTAGAATAAAAGGTCATATTTAAAATAATCGATTTAGTTCTCTTTACAAATATCATTTACTAAATTTTTTGTTTATAAATATGTTTAAAATAATTTTATATAATTATTCAATTACAATCTATGTAAATAATAAATTTTATTAACTTTTGTAGCAATTACATTAAAATTGTTACAATTTTAATTGGTTGACTTGTAAAACTTTTTACACTTGGTATCACCATTAAGTCTTGGAATATATTACTGATAAATTTACATTTGTTTAAGGATATAATATATCTCAATGTTAGGTTTCCTAAAGTATCGTATGCATATACTATATTTTTTTGGGATCGTATGAATATACTTTGATATTGAATTGATAGATCACTGTCAACGCGCTTTGAGAATTAGAAAAACACGCTGTGTTGTAATTAATTTCCAAAGGAAACAAAAAAAAAACCTTGTACGTGTGAAGAATGTACTGTCATTGGAAGGGGTCAAGACTCGAGAAGGAGTGCCTTAATTAATTTGATTCCTTTGATTTAAGATTTCGATTTTTTTTTCTTTCTATTGGTGTACTAAGATTTCGTTTTAAATTAGTCTGATCTGATTAAAAATTAAATTAAATTTAAAAAAGAAATATGTGGAATTCGAATATTTTTCAAACAATTTAATTCTAAGTTCAAGACATTATTCACTTATATGCAACTTTTTAGTTCTTCATATTTGATTTATTATGATAGAAAAATGTAATAATAATTAATTATTATTTGTGTATAGTTCACTAAATTTGTTGATTTACCTTTCCTTCATATAAAAAATGGAGCAAGAAATATAATATTAATTCGTGTAAATGACTAATTCGATCTTTAAAATTGTAACTCATTTTCATGTTAGTTTCTAAACTTAAAAGAAAATTTAATAAGTCTTAGAACATCCTGGGACTAGGGATCAAAATGAAAAAAAAAAAAAAAAAAAAAAAAAAAAGAAGAAAAAAGTGGTTAGTTTAAGTTACATAAATGAAATCTTGAAAAAGTTTTACCTGAGTTTTTCTTAATTTCATGGCCTAGTTCCAGAGTGAATGATCAAATTGAACATTAACTTTATTGATTTATTTATACTTTTATTTTCACTAATTTTTTTAAGAACATGTAGTGTTAATTTATTTCATAAAGTATATTAGTGTGTATATAATTTTTAAAAAATGTTTTATAATCATAAATTATATAGAAAAATACATATATTATTTTTGATACAGTTATTTGAGGAACATCATTTCAATTTTTCTACATATAAAATTATGAAGGATAGCTATGAGTTTGTAAAATGTTCTAATAATTTTAGACTTAGGATGTATTTGGTAGAATGAAAAGAAGAAGTAAAAAATAGAGTACGTAAACAAAAAGTAGGAGAGAAAAATATAACAAAAATAAAAGTGTTTGATATAAGAAAAACAGGGAAGAGAGATATGCATATAATTTTTTTTTAAATTAAATAATTGATTAAAATTTTGATTTAATCACAAAATTAACTAAATCAATATTACCAATTTATTTTTCCTAAAATTATTGATAGGCTTTTTTTTACTGGTAAAAAAATTAATTATTCATAATTAATTTATTTTTTTCAAAATATTTATAATAATTTAATTTATAATATTTTTATATTATATACATTAAATAATATTTTTATATCCTCCAACAATAAGGTTCTAAACAGTTGTATTGACCTGTGGCCAGAATTGCCACTAACTTTAATATTTTAATTTTACAATTAATTAGATATAATGTTTAAATTAATATATTACATTAATAAGTGGTATCAATTTCACCTTATCCTAAATATTATTAAATTTTCATTGGATTTAGGTACCAAAATAAACCCTATTAAAATTTCATAGGGATAAACATAAACCCGTTTGGCGTGGGTTTCATGTGAAGAGACTTTGACTCAAAAGAGAAGTGACATAACAATGCGTTATTTATATTTTCATGTAACATATTTTTACATAATTATTTAATAAAAATTAATCTACTATCATTTTATGTTAATGATAAAATGCTGTCATACACTACACAATATTTTAATTAAACTATTTTAGTTGTAAGCTCTACAGATTTTTTTATTATTTATTTTTAGTGTATATATTTACTTAAACTCAAAACATTGAGCCTTCCTCTTCGTAAGTACATATTAACCAGATTCAATTATGATTCACACGTGAGTTCCGAAAATTAGGGGGAAAATGGTTCAATGTGTGCTAGAAATTAGCCGGAGATAATAATTCTTCTCTAGTGATTAATTTTCTTCATCCATTGGTTATTAATTTTTTTATTCATAGAAATTAGAATAAAAACACTACTAATGAAAACTTTAAGATATAATAATATATTTTCTTGTACATATATGTTGTAACTATTTATTATTAAGAAGAAAATAGATTATTAATTATACATTCATCACATGTTACTTCGGATGGAAGTTAAATTTAACTAATATTCATGATTGTTCATACGAATTGTTGCAAAATAAATATTCGATTTAAAGTTATAAGTTTTATGCTCCACTAATAAGATTAATGAAAAAAAAATAGACCGTGGAACAAATTAGAGCCTATATATAATTTTTAAACAATTATAACTTAAATATGTTTTTAATTCCTTAAATTAAGAATAGATTTGATTTTAGTCTCTTAAATTTAAATTTTATCTTTTTAGTTCTTATAATATATATATATA